GAGAGAGAGAGAGAGAGAGAGAGAGAGAGAGAGAGAGAGACCCTTTAACACATTAGCAGCAGTCCAGACCAGATTGTCCAAGAATAGATTTCATTTCAATGTAAGTGTCGCCCACACTACCATGGCTCGATAACCAGGGACTGGGGATTGGCTGTGATGGAAATCACTGCGTACAATGGGGATTCTTTACCCCATTGTCTACGAAAGGAGCGGAATAAAATGTAATGGGAAAGAAAGGTCTGGGGAGAAGGCTGAGTCTGTAAAGAGCCTACCACACATGCAAGAGGACCTGAGTTCAGGTCGCCAGCACTCAAGCAGAAGCCGAGCATGGAGGCACGTACCTGCGTCTTAGTCAGGGTCCCTATCGCTATGATGAAACACCATGGCCAAAGCAACTCGAGGAGGAAGGGGCTCATTTAGCTCACACTTCTGTATCACAGCCCATCATTGAAGGAAGTCAGGGCAGGATCTCAAACAGGACAGGAACACGGAGGCAGGAGCTGATAAAGAGGCCATGGAGGGACATGAGGTACCCTGCCTTGTGCAGTTTCTAGAGGCCACTCCAGCCCAGGCTTCTGACCCCTCTGTCTCTGAGATCTGCAAGGCTACATACATCCTTGCCCATCTTCCCTGGTCACGTGTCTGCCCTTGCCTCCCCCTCCCCTGTCCAACAGTGGGGCTTGTGATAAACTTACATCCACCCGGTGACTTAGGTCTCCCCCACTTTCATATCCCCACACCTTCATGGTCCCCTCTGTGGATTAGGAGGTGAACATTTCAGGTGGGGGTCGTTGTCCTGTCTAATACCCTTCCCAGCCCCTTAGGCAGCTTTCTGGGAGACCCAGGTTCCTGGGGGTGACTCCAGGGTGCATTTACCCCCCGGATGGCAGACAGGGCTGGACCTCTCGAGCATGTGGAGAGGCAGCGATAGCCCCTCCCTGCCCATAGTGCCCCTCCTTACTACCTACCGTCTGTCCTCACAGCATCCAGATCAGCCACCTGTCCATTGCCAACAGCCAGGTTGAGCTGGTGGAGGCCAAATCTGTTGATGTCTCCATTCAGAACGCATCTGTGATCTTCAAGGGGACCCTGAACTATGGCTACAAGGGCGCCTGGGGGTGAGCATTCACATTAGCTGTTGAGCCATCTGCCGGCCTCTCAGCAACTATAAAGGAACACAGGGGCAGTTTCGTGAGGGTGTTGGGACTTGGCTTTTTGCAGGTTGAACATTGAACAGTCTGTGGACTTGGAGATTGAGGCGGCCATTGACCTCCAGATCAATACGCAGCTGAGTATGTTGGCTACTCTGGGAAGGTGGGAGGCCAGGCTACAGGGATGGAAGACCGAGTCCATGGGTGTTCTGAGGCCTCAGGAGGGGCAAGCTGGGAAAGGAAGGCCAGAGCTGGCCATGCTTCCGGCTGGCCTGGGCTGCCCATGGGTGCTGCCTTGTAGCCCAGGCTGCCCTGATGGGTGTTGGGCTCTTACAGCCTGTGACTCTGGCAATGTACGGACTGATGCCCCCGACTGCTCCATCTCCTTCCATAAGCTGCTTCTGCACCTCCACGGGGAGCGTGAGTAAGTCACCACCTCTGAGAACTCCTTCTTATACCCCAGGCCTGTCCGTGTGCTCCCTCCTCCGAGGGGTCATTCCCAGCCCCTTCCCATTAGTGAACCCTTAAAACCCAGCAACAGCAACAACAGCTCCATTGCTGAGAATGCACTATGTGATAAAGAGTTTTCTAACCTCACTGCACAGAGAGGAGCCTAAGGTTCAGAGAAGCTCCAGGAACACAATCAAGGACAAATGTGGATAGCAGGGGGCAGCTGGAGTCTGGGAACTGCAGAGAGCCATCTCTCTGCCCTTCAGCAAATGGGTTCATGCATGGATGCAGACTCCGGCATGTCCACATGCATGGAAAATAAAAGTGTGACAAGAAGTGGGCCCTCTGGGGAAAGCCTATGGTAGCAAAGTGGTTGACATGGGTTCCAGGCCTCCTGAGTTCAGTGCTCTCTGCTGTGAGGTGTGTGTGTGGGGGTGCTAATGTCTGCTTCCTGGGCTCCTGGAGGATTCTGAAGGCAGAGGAACCCTGAAGGCTGCTTAGCATGCAGTAGGTACTCAATGCATGCACACGACTACGTGGAGACCCACTGTGATGCTTGGTCCCTTCAGGCCTGGGTGGATTAAGCAGCTGTTCACAAATATCATCTCCTTCACCCTGAAGCTGGTCCTGAAGGGACAGGTAGGTGAAGCCAGACCAGAGTCACGCCCGGGAACCAGGGCTCCTCGTCCCGTCTCTTCCTCCCCGGTACCCATTCCCAGTGAGTCATTCAGACACAGCTAGACAGAGGCATCACCTGCCTCTTATCTGGCCTCCTTGCCTGCCTGATAAACAGCTTGAGCTGTCTACTCCAGGTCTGCAAGGAAATCAACGTCATCTCTAACATCATGGCTGACTTTGTCCAGACAAGGGCTGGTGAGTTCTGTCTTCATAGTTTTATTGTGTGCCATTGGGACAGCCACTCCTTTATGTGGCTTTTACTAACCTGAGAGTCATTTCCTCTTGGAGATGCAGCTTTTTAAGCTGACCTTGGGTGAGGCACTGAACCCCTGAACCTCAGTTTCCCTGTTGGTAATACAGAGGTGATAACAGCACCGTACCCCATAGGGTAGCAAGAAAATTGACTGAAAAACGAGAGTAAATGTAAAGAATGTAAGACAGTAGCTGGGCTATCACCAGCGCATATTTTCACAACTAGATTTCTCAGCATCCCATTCTCCTGCTGCTAAGCCCAGCAGCAACTACATATTGAACAGCAAATGGATGAATGAGGAGATGGAGACCTCCCTGAGGGGGGCTGCAATCTCATCCCTACTTCCCATCAGGCCCTGAGCTAAGGGGGAGCCCCCACGAGCCTGTGCACTGTGGAAGGAACCATCGGGACTGTGTTGTCCAGTAAGGACATTCCTGTGTCACTGGGAGGAACACAGAGTGAGGACTGGGTGCTGTGAGGAGTGGGCGGTCCTGTCCTGTCGGGTACTAACGGACAGAGTCACCGTTGGTTGACCTACTACTCACCCAACAGTTGGCTTCTAGCTAGGCAGTCCTCCTAGCCCCGTTTTACTAATGATGACTAGTTTATAAGCTGACAGGACACTCCCACACCCCAAACAAGAAGTGGAAGAAAGGATTCAAACAATTGGTCCTTTAGCCGCTGAGCACTGGACCTGGCCACCTAGTCCTTGCTCCCTGAAGAAGGGCAAAGAAGAGCAATGAAGGTCTAGGTCAAGATCCTTGGGGACCTCTACAGGATGAGTTAGGAGGGGAGACCTCCATCGCCCCAGGTACCTTGGCAGCATCCTAGCCTTCTGTCCAGGATGTAGAGTAGCCACACGGTATGGGACAGCCAGCTGCCTTCCCCCCTCCCCACCATCACCAGGGAAACCTGGATTAGGAACCTTTGAGCTTCTGGGGGAACATGAGGTGGCCCTGTCCATCAGGGAGTGGTGTGAGAGCCCACAGGAGTGGAGGCGGGATAGAGACACAGAATTCAACTGGGCTGTGTCCCATACCTACCTCTGAGCCCACACCGACTAGTGGGACTGGTGGCTACAGAGCCCTTAGGGACTGCAGAGGTACAAGTATTTGCTGTCTGCTCCTTTGTGAGAAACAACTGTAGCCCCCTGTTGGACCTGGGAGAAGACTGGGAAGAAAGATTAGTAGACTTGCTCACAGTGGTGCGAGCTCACTCTCTCACATGCTTGCATAGACGAATTAAATGAACACAGCCCTGAGGTAGATGTCCTCGGAGGTGAGGACAAGAGTCCCTAAGGAGGTCAGGTCATGTCATCATCTGCTGTTGCCACTCACAGTTTGGATCTGGGGTTACAGCCTGGACTTGGACTCCGAACCCTTCTCCCACAAGATCTTCCTCAGCATGGAACTGCCCAGACAGACAGTAGCTGGGAAAAGAGAGTAAAACAGTGTCCACCCTTAGCCCTGTTCCACAGACGGGAGCGCCTCTCTGGAGCATTTGGAACAAAGAACCCCTCAGCCAGGGCCAGCCCCACCCACAGGGTCCATTGACCTTTGCTTCCCCACAGCCAGCATCCTCTCAGATGGAGACATCGAGGTGGACATTTCCTTGACAAGATCACCTGTCATCACGGCCACCTACCTTGAGTCCCATCATAAGGTAGGCGTGTTAGGAGGGAGCAGGACTTTTCCTGCTGTACTCTTGGGTTTAGCCCTTACCTTCTACTCCCTACCCACAGAAGCCAAGTAATCCCTCACCACACCTCTGCAAGGCATTTTATGACATGAACAGAAAGCAGGACCTCAGTTCATGTGCCCATGCCCTCTGCAGGTGCTAGGGTACCCCACACCCTGTCCAGCACTGGCTCCATTACAAAATGCTTATTTCCCTTCTGTCCTCCTCAATAGCAGTCACTCAGGGTAGCCACGCCCTCTTGTAGGATCTGGTGAAAGCCCTGGACACCCTATCACCTGAGACATGGGTTGAACAACTGTAACAAAGAGACCCTAGAGAACAGCTTAAAGCCCACAGCAGTTCAGCTTCCCTGGGGAACGGCCTGGGGAATCTGGCCGATGCAGTGTTAGTGTGCACAATACAACCATGCTGTGACCTGAATGACACACCCACTCTTCTCACACCCTACGGGCCTGGCCTCTGCCACAGGGTCACCTAGCTGAGAAGGTTATTCCATGACACTGTGACCCTGGCTAAGACCTGAGTGTTATAGAACTGAGAGAGAGAGAGAGAGAGAGAGAGAGAGAGAGAGAGAGAGAGAGAGAGAGAGCAATTATCTCTCCAATGGGGCTTGTCCCTAGGAAAGTGACCAAAAGGAATACTTCAGGAGGGTGTGGACGCCGATGAAGACCCTCTAAAACATGTGGGTGGCCATGGTCAGTGGGCAAGGAACTAAGAGTGGCTTGTCTTCCTCACTCTGTTGGCTGGGACTAGTGGCCATTGCCTGTCAGCTCCCTGAGGTGCAGGGCTGGTGGCCAGGGTGGGAGCATGGAGAACCACGGTCCAGCTGCTCTGATTGCTGTCTCTGGAGTGTCAGCCTGGGAAGTGGTGACCATGCCCACCTGCCTCGCCTCACACTGCTCTCGGAGCAAATCAGGCAATTTAGCTGTGTTCATTGAATGAATGGATGTCTGGCTGGGAGGAAATTGAGTGCGACTGTCCCTCAGTTTCCCCATCTGTCTTCAACTAGACGCTCTGCTTTCCAAAGCTCCACCCTTCTCCCTGAGGCCGGCTGCTGAGCCCAGCAGGGCTAAGGAGAAGGGCATCCACTACACCAGTTTCTTCCAGGGTCATTTCATCTACAAGAACATCTCCGAGGTCCTCCCTCTCCCGGTCTTCTCGCCCACACTGCTGGGGGACGCCCGAATGCTCTACTTCTGGTTCTCTGAGCAAGTCCTCGACTCCTTAGCCAAGGTCGCCTTCCAGGATGGCCGCCTCCAGCTCAGCCTGGAAGAGGCAGAGTTCGGGGTAAGGGGCAGGGTGGGCTTCAGGGACAACCATGGGTGTGATGGTCTGGGTGTCGGTCAAAGGAGCCATGAACCACTGAAGCTGCAGCCATAATATTAAATTCTAGCAGTTATTGGTGCCCACTATGTGTAGTGTGTAAGAGTCACCGATCCATGAAACAATAGACAGGCGGATTAATTGCAGATATTTTCGGCACATGGTAATTACGCAAATTACCTGCTTTTAACATCGGCGCTGATGCACTTTTGTTGCACCGGCTGCAGGTGAGTAGTGTTGCCACTTTCAATAGGCAAACGCGTTCAACCAAAAATAAGGAACACAAAGAAGCCTGAGAGGATAGGGGGCTTGTCCTAGACAGCCCAGATCAGAAGAGGTGACTCACAGCCAGCACCTTCCACAGCTGCTTAGCTGGCTTCCAGTCCACGCTTTCCAGTGAATCAATGGGGGAAACTGGGCTCCCAGAGGGAAGACTGCAAGGTCCAAAGCCTGGGCGTCCCGAGCCTCCAGCGAGGTCAGGGTTTCTTATACTCTACCCTTCCCAGATCTTCTCTGGGGGTTGTGTTTCAGGGAGGGGTCCAGTCCACGACAT